GGATATGGAGATTGATAGCTTCAGAGATGTAGCCAGGAGCTAGACTGAGGATTGTAGGGCATGCTAAGATTTTTGACATTGCACCAAGTGTGTTGGGGAGCCACTGGTGGGTACCAAGCAGTGGGATGACATGACTGGACTTACATTTGAATAGGATTATCCAGGCTGCTGTTGGGGGCAGATTCAAGAATAAGAAGCAGGGTGACAGGAGGCTCCTTTGATGGTCCTGGTGCATCACGTTGGTTTGAACGGGGATGGTGGGAGTGGAGGTGAAATATAGTAGTGAAATTTGAAGTATATTTTGAAAGTACATGCAAAATAATTTTGTGATACACTGAATATATGACATGAACAATTAAAGTCAAGGGACGACTCCAAGGCTTAAGTAACTGGATGAGTGAACAACTGGTTTACCGGCATGACGAAGACTGGAAAATGAGTAGGTTTGAGAGTGTTGTGTGCTTTTGGACTGGGTTAGTTTAGAATAGCTCTTAGGTATCTAAGCAGAGCAGTCATAGAGGTGACTTGACACAGAAGGCTGGAATTCAATCAAGAGGTTAGAATAGGAGATATAAATTGTGGACTTTTCTGTACATGGCATTGGGCTGACACTGCTTTGTTTCTGGTGTACGACAAAGCTATACTCTGCGCCAAGTACTCGCAATCCACAGATCACACTTCACTGTCCTCTTTAAAAATTACCCTCCCACTCACACAACATAACCTTATTGCTCTATAACATACTTGGCGTTCTCAAGTTCTTTTCTCTCAGGTATTTGAAGACAGTTGAGAATTCTCTGTTCTGTACTCAGTGACCACAGAGACAAATAAATGCACCCCAAAGGTGCCAAGTGAAAAATTTTGGAATATCTCTAAAAGCTAAACTTAAAAAGAATTGAAAGACCATTTTTTAATTTTAATTTTTTATTGAAACTATACTTGGTTTACAAAGTTTCAGGTGTACAGCAAAGTGATTCAGATATATATATGTATATATACATTCTTTTTCAGATTCTTTTCCATTATTATAAGATAGTTGAATATAGTTCCCTGTGCTATACAGTAGGTCCTTGTTGTTTATCTATTTTATATATAGTACTTTGTATCTGTTACTCCTAAACTCCTAATTTATCCCTTCTTACCCCCCCCCCCCCTTTTCCTTTTGGTAACCATAAGTTTGTTTTCTATGTCTGTGAGTCTATTTCTGCTTTGGAAATAAACTCACTTGTATCTTTTTTTTAAGATTCCACATGTAAGTGATGTCATATAATATTTGTCTCTGTCTGACTTACTTCACTTAGTATGATAATCTCTAGGTTCATCTGAAAGGCAATTTTAAAGAGCTCTTCAGGCTAACTCTCCTATTGGAGGACACATCAAGGTCATCACACCTAATATAGCTTCAAAGTCATTATGAAACAACTCTGACCTAGTGTAGCCTGGACTGTTTTCTACCTAATATCCCTGAGGTGACTTCAGGGGACACCTTCAGGACATGGTCACTTGGGAAGTTCAAGGAGAATATCCTACAGATATCCATTAATATCATCAAAGAAATTTTTGGGACATACTTGCCTGGGACCCTCCCACCTCCCCTCCATCCTTGGATTCATCTCAAGAGATTCCTGGTGTCTAAAGAGTTTGCATGTTCATAATGAAAGACCTCTTTTGGTAAAGGTTATATTTAACTCTCTGCATGCATGGGTGCGTGGGTAGGGAGAAACATGAGAATGGAGACTTTTCAAGCATTTGTTGTATTTATATCTCTCTCTTCATTTATATAGGTTGAAGCAGGTTGGATGTGCCTTTCACTATTCGCTCAGATTGATAGAATTGCCTCTCACTTCATCCATTTTTTTAGTTGGTGGATCCATGTTGGCTATTGGATGGCTGTCAGCGGCTGTGGGTGCCCTGTTGTTCTTTATGCGATGTCTGTGTCTCTCTAGCAGCTATGCTACTTGGGTCCCAGCAGCTGAGAGTGGTTCATCCTTTTTGTGTGCCCCATTGTTCTATATTTTTATGGCAGAGGATGCAATCAAAGTTACAAAGGTATTTTTCCTTGATCCATTGAAGACTCACCGAGTTAACTGAAGATCATGAACAAGTTTTCCTTTTTCACGGAGAGGTCAGCTTTGGAGGTCACAGATGCTAGGAAATAATGTTTTTATGTGGCTACTCACCATATCAAGGAAGGTTAGTCTTCTCTTACCGGAGTTATTTTCCAACAATCAACTGAGAGGATACATCTAGCATTGTGGCCGTCTCCTCTTCCATCCATGTTACTTTGCTGCCAGGTCACTGTGCATTGTTTATCCAGAACCCACAGCTTTTATGCTGTCCTTCAAATAATAATGTACTTTATCATACTTGGTAGAAATGTATTAGTCATAAATTGCATTTAGACTCCGTTTAATTCAAGAATTTAGAATCAGGGCTTATGATTATCTTATGACTGTGGCAATACACAATCTTGTGCAATGTCATTTTGACAGGTGAAGACTGAAAATGAAAGCATTATCTACAACCACATTTTTTCAGTGTGATAAGTTCCTAGGGCATTCAGCACATTTTAACAAAATGTGCTTGCTGCTTGCCATTCCGCCACCAAAAATAAGTTGGTCTGAGGGGGCTAAGTGTTAGAGGACATTTCTGGGAACCATTTCATCTGGGACCATTTGTAACAAAACATTCTTGACTTTTTTTCACTACCTCCTTCTCTGCTTTCCAACCAGACCAATTTCTGTCAAAAGAGCTGGACCATTTTTTTTTTTTTAAACCAAATATACTTCTTACTGCCAAAATGTATACTGGAAAAATTAACTTAAGCTGGTAGTTTATCTTAACCATTTAAGAACATCTAACTAGGGCTTCCCTGGTGGCGCAGTGGTTGAGAGTCCGCCTGCCGATGCAGGGGACGCAGGTCTGGGCCTACGCGTCCGGAGCCTGTGCTCCGCAACGGGAGAGGCCACCACACTGAGAGGCCCGTGTAATGCAAAATAAAAACCAAAAAACAAACAGAAAAACAAACCCCATCTAACTATTAATGGGAGTCAGTGCCACCAAACGCACCATGTATTACATATTGTTTTAGGTGGCAGGAGAGAGAATTGAGGGGAAAAAATCATTCAGTGTTTGAGCCGGAAAATCTGGAGTCAGGGAGCTCAAAAGTTCTTCGTTAACAGTTCTGTGACCTTGAACAAGTTACTTTGCCTATCTGATACCGTCTCTATGCAGCCAAAAATGACTGCCGGAAGAGCAAGTCGGTTGCGTCAAAGACATCAAAGGGTTACACTAATGAAAATCACCAAGGCTTTGACTAGACACATTGCACTATATATAAATCTATTGCTTTATGCGTTTACACTGTTCGAATTTAGAAACTACTGCCTGTGCACTGTTTTCCGTATACTTTCCTGCAGGTAAGGTAGTTTATTTTCAGAAAAGAATTGAGGGCACTGTTGCCCTGCCGGAAGATAAGTCCCAGAGAGGTTTTGCGGAGTGGAGTTAACTATAGAGAAACCAGCTGGCTTCGGGGTGCATACAACCGAAATCCGCGGTTGCAGCAACTTCTGCACGAGAGGTGTCCTTTGAGTCCTTTTTCCTACGGCAAGGGTGTAAGAGCCCGCCCGCCACAGAACGTGGCACCAGGGTTCACTAGGAGCAACCACTGCAGGAAACGATATTTACAAAGTCACCAGAACAGTTTCAAATAAACCCAGATACTCCCTGCAGGAGGGAGAGGGCGAGGAGGGCAGAGGGAGGATGCAGGTTCCAGAGGCGTCTGTTTTGAGGGCTCTGGAGGGTCGGTGAGAGTGCCCTTGAGGGAGAGGGCACACAGGGCTGGAAGCGGTCTCCTGGGAGCGTCCGTTAGTCCTCGGGGCCCACGCGCCCTTCCCCTAGCCCCCTGCTTAGCCGGCTCGGGCGCGCCCGCGGCGTCAGTCTCGCGAGCTCCTTTGCCCTCGCGAGTCTCGCGTTCGATCATCCCGGCCCCTTCCAAACCCGCGCCGCGGCATCCCACTCGCCCATCCAGTAACGGCTTCTGGACCCGTGGCCTCCGACCGTTCCCCCCCGCCCCCCCGCCTCCGCTCACGAGAGCTGCAGCGCCGCGCGGCTTGGGGAGGGGTAATCCGCCCCGGAACACACGTGAGCTGCCCCGGGGCGGGGTCGGCGGAGGCGGCTGAGGGATTTCCCCCACGCCCCCAATGCCTGCCCGCGGTCTCCGCACCTCCCCCGGGGTTCGCACCCGGCCCTCCACATCCCCATTCCCGGGAACTACCCTCCGCTCCTCCACACCTACCGCCCCGCTCCAGTTCCCTCCAAATACCAACCCCCCCCCGGCCCATCCCGTTC